AACCATTTTTATTACCTTATGCGCATAGTCATCCACGATTATTTCATCGACAATGGTTTCGAGCTGCTCTTATACGTGCTGGTCAATATTGTAGTTCATTCGAAGATTTCGAAGAAGAACGGCTTTATCTTGAATTAACCTTTCTGGCTAATGGCTATTCATTAGATTTTGTCGAATATCATTTGAGACAATTCTTTTCACGTTTTAATCCTAAGCCAAATGAACCAATGAGTCTCAATCGATTCACCTATTTTTCACTTCACCATGAATTATTTCGTTGCATCGATCAACAGAGACATAATCTGGAAGAAGAACAAGAATTACATAAGAATTGTCAATTAATTCAATTACATTATCTTTTCGACTGGGGTTCAAGATGTCAATTCAATCAAAAATTTCATGAACTTTGGTCTGAAATTCTCGAGCAAGACCCACAGTTTAAAAAGTACGGATAGAAAATTAAGCTTAACACTAAACATTGTTATTCATCAAATAGTCTCTTAGCTCGATCGAACATACATACATGAAGTGAGAGAATTGAAATTTAAAATGTTTAAATTCTTTCTATATTTCTATTTATTTAGATATTTCCTAAGCTTGATTAATTAGCCATCTATTACACATCATACATGTCATCTTATTATTCTTCTTTTTTGCATGTGTCCTATTGTTATACACTTAGTATAGCTAAACTTTTATCAATAATATATCACAATAAAATTATGATGCACTCTAAAAAATGTTACCTATAGCTATTCATATTGTTTATCTGTTTTTTCTTTTCTTATAGATCTATTCGAATAAGGGTGAGATGCGACACTACTCTTACTTGTTTATTCCTTTATCCATTCTTTATTGATCTCTCACTACATGCAATCCTGTTGCAAGTACTTAATCAAAACAGAATCCATATGAAAACATTGCCATCAAATAAGACCAATGCGTTAAAAACATTTACTACTTATTCATGATCATATTTATCGGTACTATCTCGTTATATTTCATCCAAAACTTCCAAAGAAAACAATAAAAAAAATCTTTACCAATATCAAAGCAAAACTTCAATGAATAATACCAACATTAACCGAAATATGAATGAGTTACGATTATTTAAACCCATAAAATCTACTGTTTTATTATACATTCATGGAGCATCACAACCATTCGTCTTCGACGAGCCAATTAACGAACCCGACAAAATCCAAATTATTTACAATTGTATGAAAATTTGCCTCACAATATTCGAATCACATGATTACCCATGCTGAACTAATTCAACACTCATACACAATAGTTGCTCTCAACGAATATTCAAATACAACAGAAAACAACTCGTCATATTGTCATACATTTCACAAATTCCTTGCTATTCCCGTTGACTCAACGAAAACAATTCAAACATATAATAATCTTATCTATCAATTTATACCATATACAAAGAATAGTGTATTTGCGCCGCCGTCACAGACATCTACACCAATCGATTCATGCTCATAAAAAAAAATTAAACAGTACAATAATCATCCATTACGTCATCATCTACAATGCGCTGAAAATCATAAAACACCACCGGATTCACACTTCGTCTTATACATGCTTTCTACCTGTTTTCGACTTCGACGATGGTACCTTGTTTTGATTCGAAATTTTCTCGAAAATTTTGGACCTTTTAAATAGGTATCCCTGTGCCACTTGATAAGATTTCAGCAACATCGAAAATACCGGATATTTGTGGTAGCTTTACACACCCACACCCACACCCACACTCCCACACCCACACCCACACCCACACCCACACCCACACCCACCCTTTTTTTTGTGCTCTTTTGTTGTCGTTCATCATAGTTTATTGTCGTTTATCTTACTTTGTTGTCGTATTTTTTTTTCTCATCTTTTTGTTGTCGTTCATCATAGTTTATTGTCGTTTATCATAGTTTGTTGTCGTATTTTTTTTTCTCATCCTTTCTTGTCGTTCATCATAGTTTATTGTCGTGTGCAGTAGTTTGTTGTCGTTTATCGTATTTTCTTGTTGTATTTTTTTTCTCCTCTTTTGTTGTCGTATATCATAGTTTACTGTCGTTTATCGTTTTTAGTTGTCGTATTTTTTTTCTCTTCATTTGTTGTCGTTTATCATAGTTTATTGTCGTCTGTGGTAATTTAGTATCGTAGTTTCTTGTCGTGTGATGGCTCTCGTTGTATATATAAAGGCTCGCTCTACTGTGATGAATTCATTCCGTCGATTAACAGAACATCGGTAACATCGATTCTTCTACTTTAATCTTCAACGGCAAGAACAACTGCATTTATACTGAGTCATCTTTATCAGGTCTGTTGTTATTTTAGATAGAGTTGCCCCTCAGCCTTTCGTCTCTAAAAATCGAAAGCAATATAATTATATATAGTTGCAGAAAAATAGTTTATTACATATTATTATCTACAACAACTGATAAGTGACTACTGTAACAAAAGTGGAAAAAAGTGACTTGATACCTTTTGATTGATTTCATTTTAACCATCATATCTACTTTCAAAAAACACACCACATTTGTTGAAGATCCTCATTCTTAAAATTATTCCGAGTTTTTCATCATAATTTTCTAATAACAGAATATATTGACTATTATCAGAGAACAAATGTACCAGCAGCTCTTGACATTACTTGTACAAAGTACGAGAAAATATGCTATATTATCATATTCTCTTAAGCAATTGACAAGTGATTACTTCCGCGGTAGTAGATAGACGTCTATTCATAGCTTTTCATTCATATAATTTTTATAACTATATCTACATTGAAAAGCCCACCCACTTTCTCCGCAGCAGAATCTACTACTTTTTTACGTGATAGCTATGAAGTATTATGAATTGATTCAAAAAAAATATTCCTTTCCTTCTATCTTTTATGCTAAATCTTGCGTCACTTCATAAGATCGAGTCAGTAACATCCAAATGCCAACCCTATTCTCATAACTATAACAACTCATACAGTGAACAGAAACCTTCCATATTTGTTCAAAATTTTCATAAAAGTAGATATTGACTTCTATGATCGATTAAGACTATAGTTCAAAGTTAATTTTATTCGAAAAATTAAAATGTGCAAATGTTTTGAAAAAAAATTAATTATTATATCGAAAAGTAATTCCTATGTTTTACACTTATACAGAATTACTATCTAGTAGATATAATATTAAGTTACCACCCGATGAAGTCCCGCCATGGACAGAAACAACCTGTTGTCGTGGTTTGGCGATTATTTCTAATTCACACCCACCCTGAAAATGCATGTCTTATTTAACTTATGACAAAGAATATAAATGAAACAGGAAAGTGGCACTATTTATCATGATACTTTTTTCTTTTCTTCGCTTTGAAACTAATAGTAATGTCACGGATCCTTTTTGATAATTTGCATACATGATGATCTTCAGTTGCCAGCGAAGCACGGTCTTGAGTGGTATTTATCAGTTATGAATGTTCACTTGTAAGATAGAATTCGTGTCAAAAAAAAGAATGGTAATCGTCTGAAACGATTTTTGCAGAAATTCGATGAACCATCGGATGCAATTACCAAAGCCTACCGAAAGCAATGGTCTCAAAGTACGTCTGCAATGAGTATTGTAGTTTAGTTCGAAGCTGCCACCCTAATTAAGAATATGATCGAACTGGTAATACACTCTAAAGCTTAGATGCCAACTGAGGACAAATATCGAACGCAAGTGTTATAAAGATGAGTACTGCTACATGAAAAGCTTTGAAATGGTACAGAACAATGAGTAATAATTGAACGACAATTTTGGCTTGACAGAGCTATTATTAAATAGAACCGATCTGATAGATCTTGATATTAAGCTCGAAGTAGATAATGTAACTTATTCTGTCGTTTGTGAATGTAAGTTGTGTCGAAAGCTGACTTCCCACGAAGACAAATAACAGAATAATGATTTGAACTGCAACTTAAAGGAAAATAACGACCGGAAAAGAAATCTGAATCAAAATAAGGGTACACACGACGGTGGTATCCAAGGCAACTGTCAAAAGTGACTTCTCAGTTACTGTGAGGATCAGAAACGATCCCAATGATGAGACTTCACCCTAATGTCGATTTTTGAGGAGGAATATGTGTATGGATAAGAAATGCTTCCAAAAATGGCAGTAGAAACCAATATCTTCTGTTATAGGCAGAAGGGACCGTTGATCTCGGTTTTAACAGGATCGATGATATAAATCAGTGTAATATTGCTTGTGAAGCCTGTATATTTTACCTATCCTGTGCAACGATAGGAAGAAAAATAAAAATGAAACCATGACAGTATGCATATTTTTCCAACCATGGATTAACTTTATCTCTCTTCATTATTCAAGCTTAATCGATAAGTGAAAGAACAAGCAAAAGAATAACAACATTTTTGCGGGAAAAAACCCAGCATGTCTCAATAATATATGATCATATTTTATCTCACGTCCACGGTTGATTGCACGCAAGCCAAACATTTTTTCGATATGTCTATAAGTAATAGAATGCTTTCATTTTCTTTATTAATAGACATCGATACATTACCAACGTGTTGCATTCGTTATTATAATATACATCGCGTTTATACAAGAAGCAGACGTAAGTCTTTTTACTCTATCAGTATTCAAAAGATTTTTTTATTTTTAAATGATAACAGTAATTAATTATAGTTTATGTGAGCTTTATATTGTGTCTAAATTTATGGAAAGAAGAAAATGAAAGTGAATATTGGCAAATTTTGCGAATTTTATGAAAATAGTGATGAAGTTAGTGACTTTTTTCTCGTTAATATAGGTCACTTGTGGCTATTAGGGGATTTAATGAAAAGGATAGCAACTGATATGCTACTGAAATCGGTCCTGATTATTCGATAGTTATAAGAAACCCTTGGTGATTTGTATCCGTTCTAATATGATTCGGACGGACACCGGAACTATTTGTTGTATATAGGTAGCTATTGGAATGTCTTGAAAAACTGCAAAGACAAGCAGATTAGAAACATCTCGACAATAATCTTCACAACTTTAAACGATCGAAGTGATTCGTGCCTTAAAACCTTACATACTTGTCATAAAAATACCATTGGGATTTCACCAAGAGGTGCTTCCCATGTCAAATCTTCGTATCTGTGCAGATTTCAAAGGCATAATAAAAGCCAGTTATGTTCAAGGAAAGACAATAGTGTGTTTTGAAACGATAGGAGAATTGAAAAAAAATTGGGTAGATATTCTAACAATTTTCCAATAGAACTAATTTTGAGAGCTTAGTTTCTTCCCCTTCTTTTATATGTTTATATTTGTGCTTTGAGGAAATTTATCCACAGATAGAGCAAGATCTTAAACTGGGATATGCCAATAAATTGTTATTTATTATTATCATTATTAACAGCCAATTTTTTAATCTTGTGTATGTTTGGAGAATCTCCAGCTCATGTAATTT